AACATGCGAGGAGGTCAAAATCTTTTTAAAATCCTCATGACCCACAAGACGATTCGGCACAGGTGCAAGCCCAACGGGGTCGCCGAAGGCCCCAAGGAGGCGCTTGCAGGGCGCAGTGAGGCCGAATACCTGGCTTGGGCCCATGGAGGCGGCGTTGGACCGCCCAGCTGACAGCTTGGAGGTGGTACCAGCGGTCGGTTTGGGACCGCTCAGTGGCACTGGCGTTTTTTAGCAGGCACGGCGACCCGTTCGAGGGCTGCACCTGCCACGTGCACCCTCGACGCCCGGATTTCGTCAGCCGCAGCGTCCAGAGGTCTGTGCGTGATGCCCTGAAGTTCGCGGCGCATTTTGCCGTGCCCATGAGTTCGGGCATCGACAGCGGAACGGCGCGGGGGTGCACCGATGCCGCGGGCACGAGATCTCGGGCAGCGGAGTGGACCCTCTCCCGGCGGAGCTGCGGGACAAGCCTTTGGAGGACCGCCAGCTCTGCGAGGTCTTCAGCGAGGTGGAATCCGCGAGGGAGGCTGGCGCGATGCTGTCGCGCGTCTTGGGAAGCAGCAGGAGGCCGCGCCGAGAGGTTCGTTGGCAGGATCGACGGGCGGATGGATTTCCTCCGCCCAGATGCGAGCGAATGGAAGCGCACGCGCTACGAGGACCCCCTCTGATGTCTACCACTTCGCGATCCCGCGCACCAGCTCCAGCAGCGCGAAGACGTCACCCGAGAAGGTCCGGTCGTTGGACAACCCGTTATGGCGACAAGACGAATAACAAGTCGGGTCGTGCGTCTTGTCACTTCGCGACGGCGTTCATGACGGAGGGCGCCGCGGTTACTTCCGAGAATCCTTTGTCGCATCTGTTCGTTTTGCTCGGTTACTCTTGCATGATGGGCTTCGAAGGCTTCGAGGTTGCTCGCTGCGACCACTTCCGGGACGGCGCGCCCTGCCAGAAGCAGCAGGTCTTCGCTGGGGACACCGCCGCGCTGAGGGACATCGGCAGGCTGTGCAACCACGTGGGGCACCACGCGATGCTGACGGGCGCGATGGCCAGGGGGTCGGCCCCGTGCCCTCGGGCGCTCTGTGAGCGGATCGTGGTGGGTTTCGTGAAGACGCTGAACGCGACTGGCCGTTTGGGTGCAGGTTGTTCCGAGAAGGCCAGCCGTTGCGTGAACAGCCTTACCAACGTGGGCGTCGACGACCTTTTCCTATCGGGCGCGTCCATCAACCTTTTCGCGGTCGAGGGGCAGCGCCGAGTCTCACAGCTTCGCGATGGAGCTGCTCGAGCAACTTCGCCTTCCACTGACCCGCCTGGACCTGCTGCGGTTCCCGGCGTTCACTCCGACAGGCCACGGGCGCGGTTCGAGATCGAGAAGGCTCGCCTGTTTGACGCCCCAGGGAGCTGGGGGGGAATGATACAGCGGAAGACCATGGATGCCAGGACCGGCGGGGTCTTCGAGGAGATCGACATCGACGAGGACACGGCGGCGAGTTACTTGCAGCGAGCTCTGGGCAGGCGGCGTGACATAGTAGTCGAGGTGCGGCATGCTGCCGAGGATTGAGCTGCTGCCGATGCTGATCTCCCACCGGCGCCGCCCGCGCCGAGGGCTTTCGGCGAGCATGCCGAGTTGATGCCTTCGAGCCCGTCTTTAGCGCAGCGGGCCCAAGCCATTTCGCTTCTGCAGAAGTACGAGGACTTCGGTGATGTCTGCGCCGCCCATTCACTCCTTCGCCGCCGCGACGAAGATCGCCACGCCCTTGACAACGAGAAGATGCAGGAGAACTTGCAGGCGAGTTCGGTCGCTCGAAGTGCCTGTGGCCGCCGGGCGCGAAGCGGGCCCCAGTGACGCCCCGCGCGATGGGCGGGTGCAGCTGCGGGGGCGGGCCCCCCTACGCGGGCGAGTGGGGCTCGACGTCGTTGAGCTTCGCCCCGAAGGTGGTCTTTCCCCGCGGCGGCCTTCAAGCGCGTCGGCGCATCGGCAGGTCGCGCGGGCTGCCGTCGCGGAAGCAGCTGCAAATCTGCAGCCGCGACAGCGAGACCATGGGCACGCGCAGCTCTGCCGTGGGCGCGTTGGCCAAGCTGTCCAAGCAGTTCGTCTTGCCAGGGATTGAGCACGACGTCCAAGAGTGGATGGCGTTTCGCAGCGTCTGCCGGATGGTCGAGCCAGCGCGCGGTTCGACGGCCGATGCGAGGATGGAGCTTTACGATTGACCTCTCAGGCTGATCGGGGCTGACGACCGTGGGCCCAGTTCGCCAGGGTCGGAGTGCTGCAGCTACATCTTTCATGCGGAGTGCGCCTTCTCGCGCTACGCGCGGCTGAAGGTAGCGCCGGGCGGTTCGGCCGCGACGTAGGCGAACTTCCTAACGGGGTCAAAGATTAACTTGGGGCCGAGCGTTCGCTGGGCAGCGCCGACCACCCCGAGTCGCAGGGCTTCGTTGGGGCGCACCACCAGAAGATCAACAGGATCCTGGCGAGCAATTGCAGCTCGCGCCTGAGCGCCGGGCGCGCTGGGCACCCCTCCCCAAGAGGGCCCATATGGCCAACATTGCCCCATTCTTTCTGGAAGATGCATGCTTTTAGCACACTCGCTGCGAAGGTTTAAACGTCCAAGACGGCCCAAGAGGCCGCCGCGATCGCCCCGCCCAGGAGGCCCCCAATAAGTCCCAGGACGATCCAAGAGAGCCCCAGGACGGTCCAAAATGCGCCCAGAACGGCCCTAGATGGCCCCAAGAGAATCCCACGAGAGGAACTCCGACTAACATATCGAACCCTCCACTCCAAGCGGACCCCCTTGACCGCCAGCAGGCCCCCAAGAGGCCCAAAAGAGGCCCCAAGAAACCCCCAAACAACCCCCCAGAGGCTTCAAAACTGGCTCCAACAGGCGCCCGAGAAGCACGCCAAGATACCCAAGCAGATACGTATCCAAGAAGCCCCTGACACACAGCCCAGGCACGGTGGCGGTATGAGCCCAGATCCAGTAGATAAGCAAACCGTGAGCCGGGCGAAGGGCGCTGACGCCGCAGGTGGACCTCCCTGTGGGGTACGTCCCGTGAGAAGAACGTGCCGAAAGTGGCGGGGGGGCGCCATGCGAAGTTGCGCATTGATGCCATCGGTGGAGCTCTTTCCGGTGCACGATTCGCGTCAGAGGCGTCCCGACATGGGCGGGAGCATGTTGTGCGAACTCCCTGTGGAGCGCGATCCGCGTGAGGGATGTGCCACAATGGGCTGATTGCGCGGTCGTCGTGTCTACTGGGGGCCTACGGTGTTTTTGAAGGCAGCTTAGAGCGGCCTACGGGCGGCCCCCCACCTGACAAATGTATGATTCAATTCGTACATATAACCAGGAACCGGGTCCGGTGCCCCGGGCCGGAACCTCGACCGCAAATGTGGGCGTGCAAGCGTTTCGGGGACCTTGGGACGCGCCACGAAGCCTCCCAGACGTGTGCAACTCGATCCATGAAGGCTTCAAGAGGCCGCAAGATGGCCCAAAAGCGCCCCGAATCGCTGAACGATTGCTCCAAGACGACCTAAGGGGCCTCCCAGAGCACTCCCAAGAGAGGTTCCAAGAGGCCTCCCAGACTTCCCAAGAGCCCCAAGAGGCCCCGAACGCCTCTGAGGAGGCTTCAACTTGTTTGCACGAACTTAACCAAACGCCTTCCAAGATATCCTCCCAGGCATCCTCAGGGAAGAGGACGCGCGAAGGGAGGAGGGATGAGTATGTGGACGAGGGGCGCAAGGTCGACTTCGTCGTCGCCGCCACTGCCGTCGTCATCGTTGTCGTTGAGGAGAAGCCTCATGCCTCCGGAGCATCGACAATTCATGACACTTCAGCCCAAGAAGGCCCCCAAAGAGCCGCAAAACGCACCAAGACCAAGACCGCACAAGAGTTTCCAAGAACCTTGAGCCTTCAGAGGCCAACCAGCTCTTCGATCCCGACCCCTCCCTCCCCCTTTCTCCATATCTTGATGCCTGCTGCACGTGCTCGGGCCAGCTGGCGCGACAGCGCGTGCATGATGTTTGAAGGCTGCTCTCTCTCTCTCTCTCCGTCCTTCGTCATTCCCCTTTCCTTTCCTCCTGCACGTAATCCGCCAGTCGGCGTGACAGCGCGTGCATTCTGTTTCAAGCACCTCAAGCGGCCCCTTGCAAACTTCTCCAGCAAAATATTGGTCAAGCCTGCCAGGGAACATCGCTCGAATTGAGAGGAGGAGGGTGACGAGAAGGGCGGGACGGAGGATGAAGCAGGAGGTTCCCCAGTGTTTTCCAATCTGGGGTTTCTCGGTCCCGGGCGAGTGCGAGGAGACGCAGGACGAGGAGGCGGAGGACGAGGAGGAATTGAAGGAGGAGGAGGAGGGATGGTATTCTGACCAGGACCCTCCTCGACCCCCCCCTCGACCCCCCCCCCCCCCCCTGGGACCCCCCCCCGCGGGGAAGGGATCAAAGGGAAGGGGTCTCCTTTCGACTCAATTACGACGTTGCTCAATACCGCTTTGGCTGGCGCGCTCGAGGAGGAGGGCCCGTAAAAAGGGGGGGGAGCGGCGATGGCGACTGCGATGACGACGACGAACGGAAGAGCGTCTTCGACACGCCGACAGGATCGGCGGATTTGAGGACGCAATAAGGCAAGGCATGGAATGAATTGGTCCGATAAGCACGCACAGCTAACACCGCCTGGCCTGCGCTAGAACACAACGCGCGCGAAGCGCGCGCGCGGTTCTAGTGCGCATAGATGTTTAGCTACACGTGTCTGTCACTTGGATGCTGGCAGTAGCAGCCAGAGGTAGGACAGCGCATGGCTGCCTGGCTCCTGGGCAACAAGCTCAAGCGTGAAGAGGGACAGAGCGTCCTGCCAGTTGCCCCATCTCGTTCTCATCCGCCCACGTCTCGGGTCGGTCGGGCATCGCCCGCGCGCGAGGGGCGAAGCTGGGTGGTCCAGGCCATCCTCTTTCCCATCGGCGGCCGCACTCCTCCTCAGGGCACTGCGGGCGAGCGCCCCCCCTCGGCCCAGGGTCCGACGGAGCGCGGGCGGACGACGCGACCTTTGGGTTCTTCTTGACCGTGTTCAACATGATCCCCGGGGTGCTCCGGGCCCGCAGCCCCCGCGCGGCGCCTCCTCCTCGCGCTCATTCTCGCCCTCTTGTCCTGCGACCTCCCTTGTGCTCCCTCGCGGCCCCCAAGTGCCCCTCCGCGCTCTCCTCTGACTCCCGCTCCTCCTGCCTCCCTCTGCCTCCTCGTGTCCTCCCCGTCCTGCTCCTATTCCTCCTCCTCGTCCTTCTCCTCCTCCGGCGCAACACCCCTCGCCCCCTCAGTCAGTTCTCCCGAACCTGGGCTTGGGTTTCTCGATGGGGACCGGAAAGTCCATTGCAGAGTTCGGGAGCATGTTGGATGCCATTTTGCTGCAGAGTACTCCACGGTATTAGAAGTCACTCCAGGTCAGCGAGTTATGAGTGCACGGGCCGTTCGTACCGCCGTTTTGGCGTTCTTGCTGCGTATAGGCTGCGACGCTGTGGCATGCAGCAGTCAGGGCGATGGGCAGGATGGAAGCGACGCCCACCACCACCGATCTAAGAATATTCCAGCTTGTCCACTGGCGATACGCGTGGCCTCTCACACGTCCAGGCGAATATACCAACACCATGGCGCTGGAAACGTGAACTCCTGCTCGACATGTTTGGGCTGCTTTGTGTGATGGAAGACACCTACGGCGAAACACCGCCTTCCCTGCCACTGGGAAACGCCCATGCGGCCAAACGTTGGGCCAATGTTTGGCCAAGCCAATTGACTAATTGTTCCCCCAGCCGTTGTGGAACCCCTTGGGGAGGGAGCATTTGGGAGAGGAAGAGACGTAAAGTGGAGGAGGAGGAGGAGGAGGAAGAGGAGGACAATGAGAGGGCACTGCGTCATCGGCTTCGACCAGGCCGCTTGCAGACACGGATGGGGTTGTTGCTTGCCTGTGCCACGCAGCCAGTGCGCGCTTGCAGTCAGCAGGAGTGTCGCCCGTGGTGCAGGGGTGCGAGGGAGGGGCTTTGCGCGGTGATGATGGGGAGGGGGCCGCCCCTGACTGGGTTTTCGACCGTCGTGCGGCGAGAGCTTGCACGATCCGTGTTAGTGCACCCCATCTTCCGCTGAGCGCTGGCCCCTCGGATGCACTGCCATTGCATGGGGTCCCTCGCCAGACGACTGAAGGACTCCGATGGGGGGACGGGGCCACATTCATTCACCCACGACCCCTCCGCCTGCCAGTCGAAATTCAAGGAATGCTTGGGAGGGTAGGCCGCCTGGCCTGGGGCATGGTGTCGGGACCCACCCCTGGGTCGATCGCCTCCCCGACGGGACCGCCTTTACTTGGCGCGGCAGTTGGGCGTTCTGATGGGGACTCGCTAGCCCCCCCCCAGTGTGGTGTCGCCCTGACCCCCCCTCCTTGCATGAATTCAGAATTCTATGCATGTGTTTCACCTTCACGGTTCTGGCACGGGCTCAAACTTTAAAAAGCCCCAAGGAGCGAGCGAGCGAGCGAGAAGGAGAGGGAGGATAAGAAGGAAGAGGAGGCAGATGAGGCCTCAGGCACAGCTACGACAGCAACCTGACGAGCTACCAGGACCCGCAGCGTATTGTCGAGGATCACAAGCTGAACTACGAGGTCCAGAGGCACAGCCACGCGAGTCACTGGCAGAGCCGCGCGGACGCTAGCTGAGTGACGAGGACCAAAGGCACAGCTACGGGAGCTATGAGGGCCACCTGCTGAGCTACGAGCGCCACAGCCAGAGCTACGTGGAATGCAGGAATAACTACCGGAGCCTCTTGCAGAGCAACTCGGGTGACAATTTGAACTGGGTGGGCCAATAGCAGAAGTTCGAGAGCCACCCGTCCAGCTGCAAGGGCCACTTGCGGAGCTACGAAGGCCACAACTTCAGCTATGTGGCCCACGAGCAGACGAGAGTTCTCCGCAAACCTGCAGTGCGACGAGATGCACCGCAAGGACGAAAAGCAGACTCCGAGGGCCACCAGCGCAGCTACGAGGACAGCCTGCTGAGCTACCAGGCCAGTAAGCTGAGCAACGACCGCCGCGAGCAGAGTCAACAGCGGAGACGCGAGGACCACCTGAGGAGCGACGATGTAACCACCTGAGCTCCGAGAGCCACCAGCTGAACTAGCCAGACCACCAGAACAAGCCGTAGCACTTGAACATGCAGGGATACGGCAATGGGTGCCAGCCTGAGTTATCGGGCTCGAAGGCCAGACACGCCACGATGGCCTCGAGAGTACTATGGGCGCGTGGGATACCACCACGGAGCGCTGGGCATTAAGATCGGGATCTATGGCTTCCAGCGTTGAGTGTACCAGCGTCAGGTCCATCGATGGGCACTGCCGAAGCGGCTCGCCGTCATGTGCCGACAGACGTTTCACGCTTACCAGTACTACGATCTAGTGAGACATGACTACGTGCCCGAGCGTTTATAAGACCTCGCAGCCTCCGGATGCCAGCCAGGGTTGGCTACATTCTTTCCCGACGCGCTCCACGTCCAAAGTTTGTTCGACGTTGTCCTGCGATCGGCTGGCGCCACCCTACCAGAAGCCGCTGATTTTGCCGACGGCCCAGCATATTAATTCTATTTTATGCCGGTCGTACTTGCTCTACAACGCGACGGGCAAGGGCATTGCGCGCACGTGCAACGTCTAGTGCGCGACATAACAAAGGATTCCGTGTACAATGTAACCGTCAAGGTAATGCGTCTACAGTGAATACATTTGCGACATGTTCAAAGTGGCCCCGTCGTTCAGTCCCTCCCTTTTCATTCGGCGGTCCTAGGTCAGGATGGATAGCACGGTGGCCCCCCTCCCTTCCCCCGTCTCCGGAACCTACCGCCGCCGGCATGCTGCGGCATCGCCGTGGTCTGAGCCCCGCGCGAGTGGGAACCGCGCTCGGCGTGTGCGGGGAAACGAGAGGAGGCCTCTTGAGGCCCTTTTGGGGCCTCTTGGGTGTTTTCTGGGGGGTTCCGGTGGGCCGCGCAAGGGGACTTGGGAGCCTTCTGGGGGCCTCCTGGCCTTCGGAGGCAGTCTCGGGGTCCTCTCTGGGCAGTCGTGGCGCGGGTCCTTCTTTTGGGCGATGTCGGGCCGTCTTGGAGGTCTGGGGCCTCATGGGCCGCCTTTGCGTTTTTTTTGGAGCGTCGAAACACCGAGATGGCGATGGCGCTAACGTCGTTGAGAAAGATATGGGTGCCAAATTATTCTGGCCTCCAGGAGGTATTCCTGAAGCCCTCTTGAAGTTGTTCGGGTGCTTTTTTGGGCGTCTGAACGGCATATTGAGCCGTCTTGGGGCTATCTCGGCCGTCTCGGAGGCGTCGTGGGACCGTCTTGAAGGCGACGTTGCCAGTCATTGCGCGCTTTGGGGCCGTGTTGGCCGGGATATCCTTGCCTCCAGCCTTTGTTTAAATGGTGCCTTCCATGAGGCTGGCGGGGCAAACCGGTGGCCATTGGCTTCGAGGGCTCAGGGCAGTCAAACATTTAATACGCCAAGCACCCCTGCAAGAAATACGGGGCGGCAAATGATGGAAAGTGCGCATAGCGTGCGATCTGCAAGCCGAAGCACATGGAACTTAGGGGATTTTGCGGGGCTTGGCATCCGCACGGGCAGGAACCTAGTAGCCAACATAGCAGAACGCTCGAATTGCGTGCAATCCGTTTGCCTGGGCTTCGGAATTAGAGGAATTCTGAAGGGTTGGCAGGCCGTGCCCCAGGATCTAGTAACCAGAATGGCGATCTCGTTCAGAACACTTTCGAACGATTGAAATGTTTTGGGGTCGCTCGCGGAAGCTGCTCAGCAAATGGCGACTTCGTTTGGGATATCCTGACATACGTGACATGTCGTCGGCCTCGCTTTTGCACAGCATGGCGATATCGTGCACGATGTTTTCACACTAGCGCGATGTTTGTAGACATCGTCTTGGTCTCGGTCTTGCCCAGCATGGCGACCTTGCTAGGGACTTCCTCACACATGTGAGCTGCCGACCTCCCTCTTGCCCCACATGGCGATTTCGTCCGGGGCATTCTCTCGACAATGCGATGTTCTCACCGTGTTCTTGGCTTCGGTTTTGCCCAGCATGGCGACGTCGCTAGGGACATCCCCACACACGTGGGATGTTGTCGACATCGTTTTTGCTCAAACTTGCAAGTTCGTTCGGGACATCTTCACAACATTAGGATGCTGTCGACGTCGTCGTGGTTTCGGTGTTGCCCTACATGGAGATTTCGCCAGGGACATGTTCATCACATGACATGTCGTCGACATCATTTTGGTATCGCTCCTGCCCAAACTGACAATTGTGCCAGTGACATCCTCACACGCATCCGATGTTGCCGACGTAGATTTGGTATCGCTCCAGGACATCCACTTTGCTCAAGGAGTTCGGAGAGTGCCCGCGAGGCGAAGGGAGGACCGACGAGGAGGAAGAACCGACAAACCAGCGATCTCGCGCCATCGCAAAACAACGTGCGCATTCCCTCCCCGTGCCAAGCAGGTTGCGATTTCGTTTGGGATATGTTCAAATCAGGAGGGAACAAACACACAGACACAATTAGTCGTCGACCCCCCAGAACATATTGGAACATACGGGAAGTGGGGGCGAAAACCTGGAAAATATTGGAACATGTGAGGCATCCTATTAGTCGCGTCTATGTATACATATATATATATGTGTGTCCCAGGGCCCCTTCACTCTCCTGCGCTCGTGGCAGGCCCTCAAAACGGCCCAGCACAGTCCGACGAGATGGCTCTGCCCCTCCCCACCCTCGCCAAAACTGCGAATTTCGATGGGGACCTCTTCACACACATACAGTGGAGGCCCATACCAAGCAACACCCTGCTTGCCTCCAGGGTGCCCTGGGTCTCTTGGGTTTCGATTGTTTTGCTGTGGAAAGCGTGACGTTCCCTCACCAAACATCGATGGACGTCCTGTGGTCTCAGGGTTGGGTTTATTGTGGAAGGTTTCTTGTGGTCGGGCCCCTACTGTATGAGATGTTGCCCAAAATGGCGATGCCGCTTGGGACACCAACGCAGCAGTGGGATGTTGTCGATATCGTCGTGGTCTTGGTCTTGCCCACCACGGCGATTTCGCGGAGGACATCCTCACACACGCGAGATGTTGTCGACGCAGCGTTTGTCCACACTTGTGTTTTTTTCTTTTGGGACATCCCCATTTACATGAGATGCTGGTGACGTCGTCTTGGTCCAACATGGTAATGCTTTCGTTAGGGACATCGCCAGCTCATAACCATTGTTAACATCTTCTTGGTGTCGCTCGTGAACGGGCAGAAGGCGGTCCAACAGAGGCCAACAACATGGACCAACAAGACCCCCAGCTGGCCCAAAATGTTTCCAGACGGCCCACGGAGCCCAAATAAGTCCCAAGAGGGTTCCGAGAAGACCCCCGAGATGGCAGCAAGGGGTGCGAACTTGCGATCCACTCTCTTGATATTCGAACATTCTAGCACGTCCAAGCTTCTTGGTGGATCACGAGGGTTCAAGATGCCGCCGACATTGTTTTAAGACGGCCCAGGAGGCTCCCGAGAGGATTCCAAGATTGTCCAAGAGGGCCCGAACACGGCCCGAGAGTCTCCCAGGTCCAAGCGGGGAAACCGCATGGTTCTGGAAAGCGGGCGGCCCAACCGAAGAAGGCACTACATTCGGACAATGGGCGGTCCAAGCGGGGAACACGCATGGTTCTGAAGAGCGGGCGGTCCGAGCGTTGAACACGTGGGTTCTGCACACTCTCCACGTGACAGCTCCGAGTACAGATGAACGGTCCAAGCTGGGAAAACGCTACATTCGGACAGCGGGCGGTCCATACGGGGAAGCGTGTGGTTGTGGAAAGCGGGCGGTCCTCACGAGAGAACACAACATTCGGACATCGGGCGGTCCAGACGGTCCAAGAACGTCTTCGAGAGTGCCGAACATGAAATGGAGATTCCGTTAGGGGCATCCTTAAACAAATGATCAACACCCAACATCGCATGTTTAACAGCATGGTTCTATCATTCTCGTGAAGTCTCTATTGAAGGGCCTCGAGGCGGCTCGAGAGGGCCCGAAGACAGCCAGAGAGTCTCCCAAGAAAACCAAGCAAAAGAGGCCCAAGATTGTCCAAGGATGCGACACGGTCGAGGGGAAGAGCGGAGCGACTCGGCTCCATCACAAACCAAGTTGCGTGTCCGTCCCCGTGCCAAGCAGGTCAAGTTGTCTTCGGCCCATCCCGTCACCTTGCTTGGGTTGTAGGTCATAGGCCTCTTGGATGCCTGGGGGATCTCTTGGGAGGCCTTTCGGGAGGTGGTTTTGAGGTGTATCGGGGCCTATCGCGAATCTCTCGGGCGCCTCTTGGGGCCCCTTGTTGGCCTTTTGGGGGTGGGCCTTCTTGGAGGCTCTACGGGGCTTGCTGGCGGTCTCAGGGGTTATCTTGCTGTGGAGGGCTCGAACTGTAAGATCGAGTTCTCCCTCTTGGGCACCTCTTTGGGCCATCAGGAGGGCTCGGTCCTAGAGACAAGCGACAAACATGCTGGACATACATACGGGCCATACATTGAGACACATTTCACAGTCTCGACGAACAGAGCGACACGTACATACTTAAGAGCAGCCAAACGCGTGTATATGTACACATGAAAATCATCGCCACACACTCACTTTGTTCTAGCAGACATCCATTAGAACCGTGCGTCAACCATGCCGTCACGCATGTTGTAGAGACATGCAGTATAGTTTTCGAAACAAATGGCATCGGCTTCCCTGTGGAGAGCGTTCAAATCACAATAACGACCACCTTCTGTCTTGATCAGCCCTGTGGTGATCGTAGTCGTCGCTTCGGTTCTCTCCAGGATGAGGCCGTTTCTTGCTGCGGAGCCGACAATTCGTTGTCTGAGGTGGATTGCTTGAGCATGGCGAATCAACCCGTAAGACCGCCACCGGATCATTGTTTGTTTGGAGATCTCGGACCAGCGCAGCCGGCTGCAACAGTGGAAAGCCCATGTTTTGAGCCATGTGTCGTGACGTTGGAATGGCTAAGTTGTTTTCGGAGTTCTGACCACTAGCCTCGCGGAGTACCATGAGAAGCTCAAAGCGCAGCTGGAGACGTGGGCAGCGCGCCCTGCCACTCAGGGCAGGTTTTTGGCGGTGGGGGCGAGAATCTACCAGATGTGTCGCAGGTGGAAGATGTAGTCTTGAAGTCGAACTGCGGTCACGGCAAAGAGCAATCATCTTGCAAGGAGGGGGCAGTAGTGGAGGAGACTGCCGCGAGGGGCCTTGCCTGGGCGGTGATCCTCGGCGAAGACAACTACTTGGACACTATGATCGGCCGGTGAAAGACCGCAGTCTTCAATTCCCCAGGGCGGGGATTGCTGACAGAGGGTGGAGGAGGGGAGGGAGTGCCCAATGCTGAGCACCAATTTCTGCTACATGTTGCACTAACCAGCAGGAAGGTCGAGGCATTGCTCGCCTCCCAGAACCCCGAGGAGCCAGTAGCATACGGCAGTCTTGGCTTTGGCGTGGAGCAGTAATTCAAGGACATCTATGAGTTCCACACGAACGGCGGATGCTGCGGGGGCGCTGGACACTTCCTGAGCAGGGCGGCGCTACGAGCATTGGCTGGCACGCGCGAGTTCTAGCATGACCATACGTCTTGGTACGGCGACATGGCAGCGACCTGTTTACTCTAAAAGCACGGTGTTCGGCTAGAGAACGTCGACCATGGCATGCACGGGAACAGGATCGATTCGGTAGAGGTGTTGAAGGACGCAGTACGGACACGGTTCTGGGCGTTGCATTATTTAATCGCTTCGCTCATTCCGCCGGCCCGTATTGCGCACCGCGGTCGACTGGATGAGAGGTCGTCGGCAGTGCGGAGCTGCAGGGAGCGGGGGCTGTTTTTTTTGTTGAGTCGTTGCGTTCGGCCTTTTGTGGTGAAGATGCCCCGGTGGAACACAGGCCGAGAGCGGCGGAGGACCGAGAGAACGGCGAAGATCGATGGAGAACTCGTCGTCGTCGTCTTCTGGCCAGCGCTCCTGTCCAGAGGCCGTTCTTCGAGGAAGAAAAAACGCTATAAGCTTAAACTTTCGGGGGTCCGCGCGGATTTCTTGGATCGGCGCTGGGCCCTTCCGGCGGCGCCTCCGGCGCCGCTCTTGGCGCGCTCTGCGCGCCAGTGTACGTATAAGGTTTTTTTTCCTGAATCTAGTTTCTCTTCAGACTCTGGCAAGTTTATTTGCACGGAGGGGGTCGGGCAAGGCCCCGAAGGAGATCTGGACTCCGCTCAGGCCGAAACCCACTTGCACGCTGTACCGGCCTTGCACTGCCTCGTGAGGCGGCGGAGCCAAAATCCCATGCAAGCGAACCTGCCTGAATCCAGTGACGCGCTCTCCCGAACATCGGCTCAGAATCGAGCCCCGGGCTTCCAACGTGGTCCGTCCGGCTCGGCTCTTTCGCCCCGGATCGATGTCTGAGGGCCCCAGGGCCCGACATTCGGGTGAACGTAAAGGGGGGTGGCCCAGACGGGGGGTGAACTCGGACGGCCTCGGAGGCGGCGCAGAGGAGGTCTGAAATGACATGTTTTTCAATCGTTTCGCTCACTCCGCTTGTCCATATTGCATGATCGCGCCGTGGTGGGCTAGCCGAGTTTTGGGGCCTGTTGAGGGCCGTTTTGGGGCCTCTTGGGGCCTCTTTTGGGCCTTTTGGGCGCCTCTTGGGGCGTCTTGGGGGCCTCTTGGGGGTCTCTTGGGGCCTCTTTGGGACCTCCTGGGCGGCTTCTGGGGCGGAGGGCTCGATTTTTCAGTTCTCTGTATCCCTCTTGAGCCCCTCTTGGGCCCGTCTTGGGGCCTCTTGGTCCGTCTTGGGCGGCACTTGGGCCGTCTTGGGGGCCCTCTTGGGCCGTTTCGGGGCCGTCTTGGGAGCTTCGTGGGCCGTCTTGGAGCGATCTTGGGCGCCTCTTTGGTCGTCTTGGAGCGTCCGGAAGCCGAAAAAGCCAGAACGCAAAAAACATATGAAAAACCAATGAAAATCAACGATTTTGGCCTCTTGGGGCCCTCTTCGGAGGCCTCTTGGCAGGCTCTTGGGGCGTCTTGAAGGCCTCTTCGGCTGTCTTGGGGGTCTCTTGGGCCGTCTTGGGGTCATCTTCGGCGCTTTGGAGCGCTCTTTGAACGTCTCGGGGGCCTCTTGAGCAATCTTGGGGGCCTCTTGGGGCACTCTTGGCGCGCTCAGGGCGGCCTGAGAGGCCGCACCCAGAAGGAAAACCATCTCTGAGTTGAACCGGGCGGGACCTTCCCAGGCGGCGGGCGGGGTACTTTTCGCCGGGGGACCCCCAGGGGCCGCCCCGCGCGCGCGAACTACGGACACGGTTCTGGGCGTTGCATTATTTGCGTCCCGCGGAGATGCGCTGGGTGCATGCAATCGCATCGGATGTATCGGAGGTTGAGTCCGCGAGATTGGAGTCAATAGTTTTCCATCCGGAAGCGTGAAGGTCTGACCAACCAGATATGTCTGCATCCGAATTGTCGACAAGGGTTCGGCGACGACCGCCCATTGGTACCAGCCGCAACATAGCAAATGTTGAAGACGTCTTCCATTTCTTCCCCCGCTGCTGTGTATGCTGCTTCTCGTCCTCCCATGATCGTCGCCTTCGTCTCCTTCTCTCTCTTGGGGCTGCGCCCATTCTTTTGGCGAGGTCGTGTACCAGGTGCGCCAGTTCTACCCGGAGGGGCCGAGGGGGGCAGAGCCTGGACCTTGTAAATGGGTTTTCTTTGATGAGGCTGGGCGTTGGCACGCCCGAGGAAAACTGCAGCCGTGGGTTAAACATCATACACTCCTCGTTCTGCAGCGTCCTGTTTTCGTGGGCCGCCGACACTCAGCATCTTCGTGCGGACAGGGGGAAGCCGCGAATGAGAGAGGAGGGGGCGGGTAGTCAAGAGTCAGGGGGCTCGGAGGGAGAGAGGGGGAGGGCGTGGCTAAGGCGGAGGGAGGGCAGTTCAATCGAAGCATCGCAGACATGGATGAAGGCGCGTGACTTGGCGACCTGTCCAGTTTCCGAACGGAGTCGGCGCACTCCGTCACCAACTCGGGCAGCATCGGCTTCCTGTTTCGGGGGGGGACCGTGCCGATTCGTGGCCCCGGCGCCTACGCGCCAAATCCACAGGTCCACGGATCCTTAATCCATCTTAGCGTGCGCCCGAGTCAATGAGAGAGAGAGAAGGAAGGCGAGGAGGAAGAGAGAGAGAGAGATAATGGAGAGGGGGCAAGCTGGTCACGCTGGCGTCACACTTGACTTCCTGCCCCTCCTTCCCATCCCCACCAACCGTGCTCGATGTTTTCCCATTCGCCAATCCAGGTTTCGAGGGGGCCATGGGCCTTGCGAAAGGAGGAGGGGGAAGAGGAGGACGGGGGGGGGAGGTGCAGGAGACAAGACGCGAGACTAATAAGAGGAGGAGGACGACGACGAGGAGGAGGAGAACGACGACGATAATGGCCAGTTGGCGACGACGACGACGACGCGCCGCCGCCTCTTCATACATCGAGGCTCTCTGGAGGCCGACCTCGCCATGTTCAGGGGCGCCCCCACCTCCAACTGGACGTGCTGCGCGCCGTCCGGCCTGAGCTCCTCAGAGGTGGTGGTGTCAGAGGCTGCCCGCACGGCGCTCGGCGCCGTCGCAGCGACGGCGCGCCCAGGGGACGCAGCACCACGCGAGACCGCCCCCAGGGCACCAGCAGAGACTTGCGGTACTGCCGCAGGGAGCTGCAGCACGACCGTTGCCATGTCAGCATGCCGGGCGCCGGGCTAGACGCAGCGCAAACACAGCAGCGGGGCGCGTGCGCGGGCCAGGCTGGAGGAAGAGGAGGAGGAGGAATGATGATACGACGGATCCGACGAAGAGGAGGAGGAGCTCGAGCAGGCGGAGGAGGAAGAAGAAGAGGAGCAGGAGGAGGAGAGGGCAAGCACAGATCAGGCGCTGGATCAGGATGTCGGGCGGGCGCCGCTGCCCCGTGCAGCGGGGCAGGGGATCTGGCCTCCAGGATGGCTGGCGCGCGTCGCGCCAAAGAGCGGGAGGCTCCAGCGCCACCCCAAGAGATTCAGCGGCATCGTGAAGGGGCGGAGGGTGGGCTTGGGGAGGTCGAGCTTTTCCAGTATTCTCGGAGGTTCTAGACGTTTTCCCAGCCTGTGGGTGCGGTTAAGCGACTGCGCCTCACCAAGAGCGTCCCCGGGGTTCTCGGATCGTTCCGAACGGCCGCCGATGAGCTGAGTTATAACCCTAAACTTGGCAACCACGGGGCGACGTTAGGGGGGGATGGGCTGAGGGGTACTGCATCCACCCCCAATGGCCCATTCATCTCCGATAGGGGCCCGATAGCCCACCCCGCCCAGGGATGTCTGGACTGGCGATCGGGGGGCTATCGCCGATTCCAGCTCGACGTTTCCCCCACTGACCCCCCCCCCCCTTTAACGCTTTCCCTCGCCAAGGGAACCGCGCGGACCTTCGACAGCTCATGGCCGTACCGTTGTTTGTCGTTCTGCTGAGTGGGGCCGAGGGGGGGCGTGCTTCCCTTACGCGCCGCCCTGCCCTCCAGAGAGCCGCTGGGCACCCTGTCGCCTGTCGAGAGGACAGGGGCCATGCCTCTCCAGTGTGGGAGGGGGGAGGGGCCAGAGCCACACCACCTCCTTCTGCTCTCCACTCCTCCTTCCGCCTCTTCCTCTTGCCCCCCCACATACATAGGAGGAGAACACGGATTTTGATGTCGATGATGTTGATGATGGTGATGCTGGTGATGATGATGATGATGATGATGCTGATGATGACGAAGAAGCTGATGATGCTGATGATGATGAGGATCCTCATAGTGGTGTCCATGATGGTGATGATGCTGATGCTGCTGCTGCTGATGATGGTGGTGGTGATGATGATGATGATCATGATGCTGATTATGATGATGCTGGTGATGATGATCCTGATGATGCTAATGATGAAATGTTGATGTTGATGATGATGATGATGCTGATGATGATGATGATCATGATGATGCTCATGGTTGTGATGATGGTGACGGTCATGGTTGTGGTCATGGTGAGTGTGATGGTGATGATGGTGTTGTTGATGACGATGTTGATGATGATAATGATGATTATTGTGATGATGACAATGGCTCTTTGGTTTACCATACTGCACGGGAGTATGGCGGGGAATGTGTGAGGGAGTTCCACGGCTTCTTTCGCAGTTGCCTGGGCTCAGGACCCACAGCGGCCGTGGCGGCGCGCCCCTCCCCTTCACCGCGCTCACGCGCGCGCGGCTTGCCATGCCGCCCAGGGCTGGGCGTCTTGCTGCGCGAAGGGGGAGGCGCGCTGCCAGGCAAGACCCCGACTTCTTGGGGTCCGCCCACACGGGCGTAGGTCGCCTAAGGGCCAGGGGCGGTCCGCGGCCGCCCGTCCGCCCGCTGGGCGGCCGCGGACCGCCCGCGGGGCGGTGAGCGACGACGGCGGTGTGCGTCCCGCGTCCGCCTCGCCCCCCGGCTCCGATGGGCATGGCATGGGCGCCGCCCTGAAGCGCCCCGCGGCTGCCGGCGACGATGGCGGAGGTGATCTGTCCAATACGAAGCTTTGAAGCCTCGGGGAGTGCAAGCCAGCAGAGGGCGAGCCGGGCGAAGGCTCCCCCGCGTTCGCCGACGACGAGGAGCCGCCACCCCGTCCCGAGCCCCTCGTCAATTCGGCGGCGCCAGCCAAGGCGCGGGCGCGGCCCGAGGCGCGGCAGCTCGAGCCCTGGAAGACGAGTGACCAGGATGACTGGCACGCGCCGCTCGCAGCCGTACGGGACGGGGAGGTGCTCGAGTGCAGGGGGGAGTACCGCGGCAGCGCCGGGCATTTCACCGTCGTCGCCAAGGGTGGCTCCTTCACATAATGCTTTTTCTCCACAACCTGAGTGGGGTTCTTGTTTTCCCAGAGCATGCTCTCCTTCTCCCTCCCGCCTCCCGCCTCCCTCCAGGGAGGCCCTCAGGGAGGCCCCGCATGAGCGAGGAGGGCATCGGAACCCCATACTGTTTACATGGTTTCGTGCCCTTCCCTCCCCTCCAGGGCGGCCCCGCCGGAGCGAGGAGGGTATCGGAAGCCTATACTATTTACATGGTTTCGTGCCCTCCCCACCTCTCCAAGGAGGCCCCGCCTGAGCGAGGAGGGCATCGGAAACCCATATTATTTACATGGTTTCGTGCCCCTCCCACCCCTTCAGGGCGGCCCCGCCGGAGCGAGGAGGGTATCGGAAACCCGTACTATTTACATGGTTTCGTGCCCCTCCCACCCCTCCAGGAGGCCCCGCCTGAGCGAGGAGGGTATCGGAAACCCATCCTATTTGCATGGTTTCGTGCTCCTCCCACCCCTCCAGGGAGGCCCCGCCTGAGCGAGGAGGGTATCGGAAACCCACACTATTTACATGGTTTCGTGCCCCTCCCTCCCCTCCAGGGCGGCCCCGCCGGAGCGAGGAGGGTATCGGAAGCCTATACTATTTACATGGTTTCGTGCCCTCCCCACCTCTCCAAGGAGGCCCCGCCTGAGCGAGGAGGGCATCGGAAACCCATATTATTTACATGGTTTCGTGCCCCTCCCACCCCTCCAGGGAGGCCCCGCCTGAGCGAGGAGTGTATCGAAAAACCCATGCTATTTCATGGTTTCGTGCCCCTCCCACCCCTCCAGGGAGGCCCCGTCTGAGCGAGGAGGGTATCGGAAACCCACACTATTTAAATGGTTTCGTGTCCCTCCGACTGACATGGGTGAGGAGGAGGGGAGAACATTACCTATCCATCTCACGTCCTACTCCTCCCACTGAGGAGGGTGAGGAGGAGGGGGAGTTCTGCGATGAGGAAGGCTTCATCATGATGATGGTAATGACGATGGTTATGCTGCTGTTCACGATGACGATGACGATGGCGATAATGGTGATGGACGATGACGATGGCGATAACGGCGATTATGATGATGATGCTGATGATGATGACGATGATGATGACGATGACTATGATAACAACGACGACGACGAGGATGATGATGCAGATGCTGGTGATGATGACGATGCTGCTGCTGATGCTGACGTTGCTGGTGCTGTTGATGATGATGACGACGATGATGCTGATGATGATGACGTCTACGATGATGCGGACGATGATGATGCCAAGGACGGTGATGGTGATTATGACGATGATGATGATGACGATGATGGCGACGACGATGATGCTGATAATGACGATGATGCTGACGATGATGCTGACGATGATGATGATGATGATGATGATGATGATGATGATGATGATGATGATGATGATGCTGATGATGATGCTGATGATGATGAGGATGATGATGAGGATGATGATGATGATGATGCTGATGATTATGATGATGATGATGATGATGATGATGATGATGATGATGCTGGTTATGATGATGCCGATGATGCTGACGATGATGATGCTGATGCTGATGCTGATGCTGCTGATGATGATGATGCTGATGATGATGCTGATGATGCTGCTGCTGATGATGATGATACTGATACTGATACTGATACTGATACTGATGATGATGACGATGATACTGCTGCTGCTCTTCACCATCATCCATCTTATCCTCTTCCTCCTCCTCCTCCTCCTTCTCCTCCTCCTCCTCCTCCTCCAGGAGGGTATCGGAAACAATGCAGTTTACACGGTTTCGTGTCCCCCCTCCAC